TGAGACACAGGAGGCTGGACTAGATGGGTCCTTGGCCCAATCCAGCAGGGCTCGTCTTATATAGTGCTGTACAAAACAGTACATCTCCCAGCTCTGTAGTGGTGTACAAAACAGTACATCTCCCAGCTCTGCTATGATTCTAATTCCATTTCATAGCAGCAAAACAGAACAGTAACTAGTGAGGTAGGGGTTTAAGGAAGGAGGTGCCAAATATACTTGCTTGGCGCTCTCTCTCTCTCTCTCTCTCTCTCTCTCTCTCTCTCTCTCTCTCTCTCTCTCTCTCTGTGTGTGTGTGTGTGTGTAAATGCAAATATGGCAAAGCAAGTTAGGGTAGAAATTTTCTAACCATCTAACCATAAATTAGAATATAGCAATCTGCAGCTTTGAAGATAACACCTAATTTCCCTCCTGATTTCTGCAATTTGCCTTCTCTTTCCCCAGCGTTTTCCCTGTAATCAAATTACAGTGTGTCACTCATTAGGGATTTCTGTGCTTTTTCTCACAGATTTGTAGGGAGGGTCCCACACCGCCACCCCTGCGATATTCTTGTGGATCTGTAGGAAAGCTCTTTGTAAAAGGAGTCATTTCATGAGACTATCACCAGAAGTACCTGTGGCATGGCAAAATACTATACATCAGCTTACATGATGGCTCTTTTTCCATGTTTCCCCCCAAAAAAACTACCAAGTAAGGTAAGTGTGGCCACCAAATATTGGCTAAAATCCAGCAGTAAGTCACAACAAGTTATTAGAATTCACATAGGTGAATTTGGGCCTACTCCTAGTTGTGAGTTACTACTAGATTTCAGCCAGTACTTGGCAGCCAAATTATTTTTGCCTCATTGACATAGCGAAAGGATATCAAGTGCGCTTTGTGACTAAGCATGGCTTTGAACTTGGCTGTCACAGGTCCAATACCAGCAGTTCACAGGTGTTCTTGAGCCACAATTCCTAGAAATCCTGCCCAGCACAACTCATGGTGAGGGCTTCTGGGAACTGCACTCTAATGTTGGGAATCACTGCTCTGTTACACTGCACTAACTTTATCAGATCAATGGTTACTATATGAGTTTTTCGAAGAGCAACACATAGTGGTAGAAGAACAGTGCAACACTTAATGTGCTCAATTGGCATAAGGAAAAATAAATCTGCCTAATGTAATTCAGCAGACTGATTTTCATAAAATGCATAATATTTGGGGGAAAATGGACTAGAGGAATCCTAGTTTTATGCAATGTGACTTCAATGTTTAACAGTTGGAGACCTTCTAAGAAAACACTTCTGTTGAGAAGCAAAACAGTAATTTGATTCAGAAATTAATCTTCGACCTTTTCTTCAAACTAAACGACCTTCAGCCGGAACAAAACAGAGCATAAACGAAACCCACTCAGTTTGAAAGTGCCCATTTCACTTCTGGCATTTGTATATAGATAAGAGATGGCCAGTTTAATGGGGTTGGTGAACCACAGGAGGTGAGATAGCTTGGCAAGGCTGAAACGAACAGTTCTCAGAGGTGGACTATGAAAGGTAGGCCTACAGAATCATTTCATCACATTACCATGGTAACATGACGGATGCTACCACACAAAACAAAGGAATTGGAAATAATAAAAAATGCTTACATTAATGAATGGCTGTTAAAAATCCTACTGCATTAAACAGTTACTATTTTATCATTGTGGTTATGGAATAGTAAAAGCTAAGAGAAACTGCAATTAGGGTTCTTCTCCCCTACCTATTTGTCAGCAAAGCTGCAGAACCTGATGAGATTTGACATGGCTGAAAAGTATCAGATGTCAGACTAGCCTTACCATTATGTCATGAAAAGGCAGAATGGTTTTGCCTATTAACATAGCTATTACTATACCGGTGGTCCCCAACCTTGGCCCTCCAGATGTTCTTGGACTTCAACTCCCAGAAATCCTGGCCAGCAGAGGTGGTGGTGAAGGCTTCTGGGAGTTGTAGTCAAAGAACATCTGGAGGCCCAAGATTGGGGACTACTATACTACAGTATACTTCTATTGCCAGGGATAGGACAAAGTACTTGAGGACATTTTGCCTCATGTGCCAGAATAACATGACTGGCATTGGGTATTATGTGCTTTGAAATGGATGAGGAGGGGTGTTATTTGCTGTTCCATCTCAGGCAGAAAACTGTTTTCTACTGGCCCTAATTCCATCAATTCTCAATATATGAGATCACATTGGAAAAGTTCTTCCCATATTGAGCTACAGGTAGATATGCATTTCTTGGCTGGTTTAGGTCTTAAATTTGACTTATGCCAGTTGTTACTCTGCTCCTATCACAATGTCAGCACTACCTGTATTTGTGTGCTATACTGTATATCTCAAACCATTATTCTAAAATGTTGAAAGATGTATTCTACATTTTAGATGACCTTTCTATAATAATATGGCAATGCATTGCTTCATATTATTTTTGGATAATGGACTATTTAGTTGTATTGTGCATATATACCTGTTATGTTTAAAATAACAACTGCTCATAGAAAATAGTACGTACAGTAATTAGGGTCTCTCTGTTACCATGGGAAATAGTAGAGCCTATTACTATCAGTGGGAAGGACCATTAACAAACACTAAGGTTAGAACAACAAATAAAGGACCAAAGTCAAAACTCACCTAATGACATGATGTCTTGAACTCTTGGCAAAGTGTGAAAATTATTGGCTTAAAAGTCTCTAACAACACAGCAGAAAGAGTTCAGGGACCTACAGAGCAAAATTAGTTTCGAGTCTCCCCACAGTATATTTAAATTTAGTTCTCATTAACTGGAACTTAGAGTCTCAATAATTTATTCAGAGACACTGGTAAGAGAAAGAATACAAGGTTCCATTTTACTCATAGTTCTGAATAGATCAAAAACAAGCAGTATATTGTAGAAAAATAATGACTGCTTACATGAACAGAGCTTAACCAATTCATAGCTACATTATTACCTGATTGTCTAACTGAAAAAGAAAGAGTTCTTAAGTAAAGAATTTGAGGCAGAGAGGAAACAATCCATTACTGCTGGATTGATTGACATTCATCCCAACCCAGAAAGGTCTATCCTAGCTAAAACCTCTTAAAGGCAGTATATGAAGGTGGTTAAATGGGTTCCATTAAGATCAATTCCTTCTTTACTTACTGAACTTAAGTGCAGTCAGAAAAACAGAATAGATACAAACCACACCATAATGGTATATACACATTTTAAATGGCTGAAATCCTAATTAGCAGCTATGGTTGCATAACTTTATGTTACACAAACAGTAACCTCTGATTATACCACAGTGGAAGTACTACTCACAAGGCATGTCCACGAGCACATTGCACAACTAGTCTTGACAGGAACCATGCAGCTAATTGTCCAAATGACTTGTTGCCTGAGTGCGAACACCCAGTAAATTTATGCATTCACAACTTTATTTTACAGACAAAAAGTCTTCCAGCCATTGTCTGGGTTGCTACGGCACATTCGTTAGTTTAGTCATTTAGTCGTGTCCAACTCTTTGTAACCCCATGGACCAGAGCATGCCAGGCCCTCCTATCTTCCACTGTCTCCCGGAGTTGTGTCAAATTCATGTTGGTTGCTTAGATGACACTGTCCAGCCATCTCATCCTCTGTCGTCCCCGTCTCCTCTTGCCATCACCCTTTCCTAACATCAAGGTCTTTTCCAAGGAGTCTTCTCTTCTCATGAGATGGCCAAAGTACTGGAGCATCAGCTTCAGGATCTGTCCTTTCAGTGAACACTCAGGGTTGATTTCCTTTAGAATTGATAGGTTTGTTCTCCTTGCAGTCCAGGGGACTCTCAAGAGCCTCCTCCAGCACCACAATTCAAAGGCATCAGTTCTTCAGCGGTTTGCTTTCTTTATGGTCCAGCTCTCACTTCCAGACATCACTACAGGAAAAACCATAGCTTTGACTATTTGGACTTTTGTTGACAAGGTGACGTGTCTGCTTTTTAAGATGCTGTTAGGGTTTGTCACTGCTTTCCTCCCAAGAAGCAGGCGTTTTTTAATTTCGTGGCTGCTGTCTCCATCTGCAGTGATCATGGAGCCCAAGGAAATAAAATCTGTCACTGCCTCCATATCTTCCCCTTCTATTTCCCAGGAGGTGATGGGACCAGTGGCCATGATCTTAGTTTTTTTGATGTTGTGTTTCAGGCCGTTTTTTGCACTCTCCTCTTTCACCCTCTTTACGAGGTTCTTTAATTCCTCCTCACTTTCTGCCATCAGAGTGGTATCATCTGCATATCGGCACAGCTTATTCTAATAATTAGGCACAGCTTATTCTAATTTCCACTTTAACGTGGTAGGCAACATTTCCCCTATTCATAACTAATTATCCCAAAGGAGCACCATTTAAATTGAACTTACTCCTGGTTACTGTGTCTCTAATTAGGGATATCCAACTACAGTATTTCCTTAACTTTTTTTTTTGAAAAATCTAAAAGGGAAAAAAAGCAAGTTGAAATCTGGAAACTCTTGTCAGCAATATATTGCCGCTCTGTTACATAACGAAACATGTTAAATCTTTCTGATGCCAACGCTGCATGAGCAATTATGTATTCAAGCAGCTGAACTTGTCTCTCCTATGACCTGTGCAACCATGCTCAAGTTCCAGAACACAATGTTCTCATTTCATAAAATCGCTTTATGCCTTAGGTTTTGCATTTCTGTCATTTTTCAAATATCTGTGAATCTATTGCTTCCCAAACTGCACAGTTTCAAGTACTGGATGTCTCTTGGGCATGAAGGGCATTCAGGACTTTTCCTTCCATCCAAACGCGTTTGCCAATTAAAGACAGTAAGAATCACGACCTGAAAAGTTTATACCTCTAATGCCGGGGAGAGATATCAACAGCTAATAGTTTGTGCGAGATTTCTGCATGCTGTTATTGTCGTTTTAAGGACAGGGGTCATAAACATAGGAAGCATCAATTTGAACTTCCCTTTAAAAAGCCTCTTAGGGTCTCTCAGAGGTGACACGCGTCAGTATCTCTCGGAGGATGCCGGCTCCCGATTTAGGGCTAATCCTGGTGCTGCTCAACTCTGTGCTTCTAATTGGTGCAATAACTTTGCCCGCCCAGTAAGCAGAGAACACCCTTCCGATTGCAAGCGCATGAGGTTAATTTGAAACTTGCCTGTTAATTTAAAGGAGTCTGACCTGTGCTTTACACGCAAATCCGGCTGAGCTGGGCAACTTTAATTAGAAAAAGCTCCCTTTCGGGCTGGCTTTTCTCCGATGCCACGCTGACGCGCCCTCCTGCCCTCCCAAGGAAGGAGCCTCCGCGCCCCTTCCTCCCGAGCCGCCGCTTAAACTGCTAGTAAGAACAAATCCTCCAGGACATCATCCATTGAGGAGGGCTCGTGTTGAATAACAGGCTCGCTCGCCGGCGCTGGGTTTGAAGCAACAGCGGCGGCAGCTCCACTGCCTGTGACATCACTCCTGTAGCTCAAACCCCCCGCTTAAGCTTGCCTTCATTAGTCAGTGTGTGTGTGTGTGTGTTGGGCGATCTCGGCTTTTGTCAGATCTGCCGAGCGTCACACGCGCGGGAGCAGGTCCTTTGCAGAGCCGAGGACTTTGGGAATCAGCAGCCCTGGGAGAAGGAGAGAGAGAGAGAGAGAGAGGCAGTCGGAGGGAGAACGAGGAAGCGCGACCACCGGCTGCAGGGAGAGCACCACAGAGCCGGCTTGCAGCATGAAATCCATCCTGCCTCATTACTTGATGGCCCTTTTCCCCGTTTTGGTCCTCGGCAGCACCAGGTGAGTGGCCGGATCTCGCTGAGTTGAGATTCCCTTGGGAGCAGCCGTTGTCCAGGCGCATTTGGACCCCCGGCTGGCAGTCCAGCTGCTCTCCCGCTTGCAAGTTCGGAAAAGCATCTTCTCGCCTCCTCTCTCTTGAGCCGGTTTCCAGGGTGGGCTTTCTTTGCCTCTCGCTCTTGCCCGCACAAGAGACTTTTTGATTCTGGGTCATTCGCTAGTTAGTCGGGGCCATTCCTCTCCTGAGCCCTCTAACAGGGAAAACTCCTCGCTCTGCAGTGACCCCAAGCTTTTGTGATTAAGCAAAACGGTGCCTGGATGTCGAGTCGATGCATGGTGCAGCAGGAGCAATTTTTTCATGTGGTTCCCGGGGAATAATATTCCTATTCTAAGCTATAAAGGATAGGAAGGGGGAAGCTGCTTGAATTTGGGGTTTTATTCTGTTTAAATTGCAAAATGCAATGCCCGAGGGTGGGATAGTTTGATAGCTGTGTCAGTTTGGTTGCTACAAAGCGTCTGTGCAGTCTTTTTGTTTGCATTTCCAAATAGCATAAGGTTGGAATGACATTGGGAAACCAGGAAAAATGTTTCAAAGTTGTGGGAACAGAGGGCCATTACATGGATGGATTAAAATTTATGCAGAGGATTAAGCTCTTGTTTGACACACTTGGAGATAGATGTATGTGACACTTCTTCCTCAAAACAGTCCCAGAGAAACACTGTACAACCACAGATGGAAAGTTAATACTGTGTGTAGAGCAGGAGTTGTTGAGTGAAGACCTCTTCAACTCTCTTGCTGTCAGTGCATGGTTTCTAATGTCCTGATCCTTATGAACAAGAAAGTGACACGCTCCTACTGTATGGGCTATTAAGTGCTTTGCAAACTTCCACCCCTCTGGAGTACATACTAAACAGCATGCACATAGATCTACTTGGATCTTAGGAGAAATACCTCCCATATACCTTCATGCTGAGTTTTGTTTTTCTGCTGCCTTTTGCCACTATGCATTGAGAGAAACTCTAGTGTAACCTGTATAACCACTGAAACATGATTATTTACTCAGTGTTGAGCTTTCAGGTGTAATCCATCTGAGCAAGAAGAATACCTGACAACTGCAGGTGCAACTGGGAAGGGTTGATTACAGGAGTACTGTATAGATAAAAGTTGAAGGACCACAAATGGGTTGAGGGCAAGGCATGCTAGAACTTCTGACTCAGTTGTCTTTGCTTTTAAAGAAGTTGTAATTTTCGGTTCCATCAGCTCTCCAGGTTCATGGTCTTTAATAGACGAGGCACAGTTCCATTTAAAGTCTTGTGTTGTGATTTGCCAGTTGTCTAAATATCTCTTTTGATTTAGGAGCAGATCTTCAAAATGCTGTTAGTAGTGAAATCTCCAAGATAGATCACTAATTCTGTATTACTAATATCACTTTGAAATGTTTTGTGTGCATTGCCAACTGACCGAGGGAGTTAAGTTCAAAGGGAAGGCTAGAAATGGAAAAGTAACTTGCCAAGAGATACAAGTTTGCATCTTAAATGGGCTTTTGACTGGAGTGCTTTTATGGCAGAGATTTTGGCTGTCAACTTATCTCCTGTTTATAAAGCCTAGAAAATTAAAGAGGTCCTTGCATTTCCATATATTAAAACATTGAATGGCTGTCCTGATAGAAAATTAGATCAGCTGTGACTAAGGATCTTATCTAAGAACATTTTAAAGGATGCTGTTAAAAAGAGAGTGCGAAAACTTTATTTCCTATGAAAAGAATTGATTCTTGGCTTTGAATAATCCCAACTTGTTCTCCTGAAAGCATTTGAAAGAAGTAGGATTCTGAAACTGGGAAAAACATACTTGGGTGTCCCAACTGCGCTATATTTCAGGTAGCGAAACTTTCAGACATCAATTTAGTTTGTATGAGTTTGAGAAAAATGAGTCAGCTTGATACCACCCCACTCATGATGAATATATATTGTACTACACATAAATGGATAACCAGTCTTTTGTTATGATCCACCCTATATTGGAACTTGTTGTAATTTTAATTAACGCAAAACTTCCACTTGGGTACCAAACCAATGCTGGACACCATAAAGACTGTACACCTTTGGAACAAAGCAATTTTATACCCCCCCCACACACACACACATTCTTAATGAATCCTTTAGATAAGTTCTGTTTCATTGAGAAAGCGTATCACTACTAAATTGGAGCTGTAGAACCTGGAAGACTTATTAAATTAACATTAAGAACCAGCTTGAAGTAGTCCTTTAAAGCAATATGGTGTGTCTAGAAGTACATAATGCAAAAAGAAAGATAAAGTAAGGCAGTTGGAATGAGCCATGATATATGATTATTTTGAATCCTGGTTTTTGGACAACACGTTGGAGGTGAATGCAGCATTTTGAAAAGATATATGAAATATGTCATATGTTGGCAAGCCTTTCCGAAGCTGCTAGAAGTGCTTTGAAGTGAGTGTTTAGATATGCCTGGCTTCATAATAGTTTAGTCAGGTGTATTGTTCCATTTCGACATCTTAGCATCAGTCCTGCCCTCCAGAACCATGAGTGCAAGAATGTACAGCCATCTTTTAGACTTTTACTTTGCTACTGATGTTTCTCATACAATGCTATTTAGTTTTTAGCACCTGAGGCCGTTTCTTGCTAACATATGGTTAATGTTCAAGCAATTGTCCAAGCTGAGGTGGTTTGCAAGTACACATGAGGTAGTGAAGACTGGGATCTATTATCCTGCTGTGTGAAACTGCTTAGCTCAGGCCCAGTTACAGATGCAAGAGGTATGAGATTTCTTCAGAAGTACGCTTCTGTCAATGTGTCAGGTACAAAGAACAGTCTTCTTTTGCTGTATTTACAGTGGTGGGTTCAGTGAGCAGTCTGCTTCACTTGGGAAAAAGGTAGACAGTTCATTTGCTATTTACTGTTCATATTCTTCAGTGATGTTATCCTTTCTATTTTTGTATGTCAGAAAAGGAGCTGAATTATGTGCACTGTGATACTCTTGGACTAAAACTCCCAGAAGCCTGCACCATTAGCAGTGTCGGCCAGGATTTTTCAAACTTATAGTCCAAGAGCAACTCGGGGCCTACATCTGGGGGCACAAGTTTCAGGAGTCAGCAAGTGGTTTCTGAGGCATTCTGGGTTTTCATATTGTCAAACCAACTTCACCTGCCTTAGGAACCCATTACTTTCACCTTAACTCAGTGCTTTCTGTCCTCTTGCCACACACCAACTATTTCTTCCATGCTGATCTTTCGCTAATAAAAATCATGTACCAGTAAGTCAGTTCTGGTTTATGTCAGCCCTTTCCAGGATTTTCTGACTACTCAGAGGTGGTTTGTCATGTCCTTTTTTGGGGTGGGGCACCCTGGGACTCTGTAGCTTGCCTAAGGTGACACAAGCTAGCTCTTTTGGGATGCACAGTGGGGAATTGTACTCCCCCCCAAAAAAAAGTCTATCAGAAGGATGATTTCATTCATTGACTGAACACAGTGAAATACCAGTAGTTTTTTTTCTTGCAAAACAACTGGGTGGAATAGTGACTTTAGCTTTCTACAAAGACTTGAGACTTGCAGTATATAGTTATAAAAGCTTTAAACCACTTCCTAGATTCCTGGGAATGGTAGTTTGGTGGGAACATCCTGGATGCCCATCTACTGTACAGAATTAAGCTAGTTTAATTCCCAGTTCTCCTCTTTCAGGATATCTTGGTATCATCTACAAATGCAAGAGTTGTTGGTACCTTTGCTAAAAAAATTGCTTAAAAAACAGCAAGCTTTCATGGATGAAATCCACTTCCTCAGGCTAAGCAAACACCTTCATATATAGTGCAGAGAAATTGTAGACAAAAATATAAACATTGATTATACCTGTCTGAGAGAGATGATCTAGTTCTTCTTGAGGCTGGGCTCTAGTGTTTCTGAAGTAAGACTTGGGATTTTTACACCCCTGCTCTTGAGACCAAAAGGCTGCCCATTACCTTTGATTGCCTGCTCTCTCACATTGCTTGCTTGAAATGTAGAAAGTTTCTTTTTAGTTCCAGAGGTGAGGGAAGACAACACAAAGACTAGCAGCTTCTGGCAGAAGTTAGATATTATAATTTGGTTCGTTCACCAGGTAGAAGCAACCTGTTGTGCAAAATTAAAAATCAGGTTAAATGTTTTTTTGCCTAGTAAGAATAAGATGCTGCCTCTTGCAAACACACACAGACATATCAGCACAATTCTTGAAGATCATGTTAAAACACACACACACACACACACACACACACACACACAAAACAGAAACTACTGTTCTGTGAGCTGACTGGATTCCTGTGCAAGCAAAATGTATTGTTTCCTTTAAAAAATAAACAGCATAATGGGAGGATTCTATCCAATTTGTAAAACTCTGGTCCCAACAACAAGTTAGTGCAAGGTGTAAGGTGTACAGCATATATAGGTTTCTAGTTTGATGTGTTGGGTCAGCTCTGTCCTCCTCCTGTCTCTGACAGGCCAGATGACCACAAGAAGCGTGGCCACAACACTGATATCCACACCATCAGGGCGCCAGCTGACATACAGCATGGAACTTTTCCACCCTCTCACTTCATCTAGGAACATGGATTTGCCCTTCACTTCTCCCATTCTCCTCTACAGGCAGGGAGAAAGACAGATGAGTGGGTGGTTCTAAATAGTGTTTTATGGAAGCCTTAGTTAAGCATCTTTTGTTTTGTTGCCTTACCCTTAGTCATCCAGGCAGGAGAATGTGGGAGAGATCCACAATCAGCTAGTGCTGCCAGGGGTTTCTGGAAATGTTCCCTGAGAAATGGGAGGATCTGGATATTTTCTCTGTCCCAGTGCATAAGAAATAGAGACAGTTCACTCCCAACCAGCACTCTCAGGAGGCAGCTGAGTCCCAGACTGAGTCAGACAGTTCTGCTCCTTCTGGCTTATGAGGCTAGCTCAGCTAATGCCTGAACCTTTCCTAAGAGTCCTACAAAGTTGTTTAGA